ACTGCTCTCTCGAACTCAAAATAAAGCTCAAATATTATTTTACAATTTGTTTTTACAGCCTCAATCTCTCACGCAGTTACTCACTTCTACACATGCAAGAATTTATTTGAAAAGAGCATATTACTAACTCAAGCACTCAGCAGTTAAGCTTCTTGAGTGAAATATTTACTTTGAGCGAAGTTTGAATTTGAAGTACTCAGCTCACTTTATTTGCGGCGAATTTGTGCAGTTGCTCTCTTATTGAGTGTAGCTCACTTACATTTGTAGTAAACAAAACTGACCTACACCAAGCTAATTTGCTTTAACTTAGGTACATCAATGACGAAATTTTAAATTTAGTTAGCAGAAGCTTTGTAGAACCGGAATACATAAACCGTGTCTAGCGTCATTTACATTTTTAAAATATTTTTAAATAAAATGTGATGTTTCAATTAAATCGTGTGATGGTTTAAATAATAACAAAATTTAAATAAATTATTCATTTGAAATACTTGTAGAAACTAAAAATATTGTATACCAAAAGAAGCATAAGTATCAGTTAAGCATCTTAAAATGTAAGTAAGAGACACTCTATGATAAGCTTTCTTAAACACATAAGCCTGTATTTTCTTAGGATGGTCAGAGGTCAATATCACACAATTTGCGATTGCACAAAATGTGTAAAACTTGCCACTTGTTGAACAATGTTTATATTAAGAAAACTAGCGAAGTTTTGCGCCCAATACTTAAGCAAGTTGCGAAATTACTCTTCGTAAGTTTTTTTATTGTCATTGATCTTATACAAAATCGTTTCAAGTTTATACAAATTTATTTTAAAAATCTTTACATACTGGTGCTCTTTACTTATGTTCGAACTTAAGCTTCATAATCATTTTGATTACTGGCTACTAACCTTTTCTCTATTACAAAAACGATTTAAGTTTAACTCACGTCTGTTAAAAATCTCTACAAACTCTCTGCAAGCTCTTGCTATTAACCCTCAAAGTTAAAGTTCTTTTGAACTTACCCTCCATACATTTACATATATATTGCAAGTAAAATTTACTCTAATACAAAATCGGTTAAATTTTATTCTCACTTCTGTTATGCATCTCTGCAAACATCTCTAAACGTTTATGATGTTAAAATTAAAAATTTTAGCATCTCTCGAAATTACTCGATATATATTCATACACTGCTAGGAATCTTAACTCTTATACAAAATCGCCTTAAGTTCAATTCTCTTATGTGAAAATCTCTACAAACTCTTTCCACGCTCACGCTGTTAAAATCCAAATTTTAGCATCTTTCGAAATTACTCCCTATAAATTTATATATTGCAAGTAACCTTTGCTCTTATACAAAATCGGTTCATTTTATTCTAACTTGAGTTAAAAATCTCCAAAATTTCTCTGCACACTCACGCTGTTAAAGTTCAAAATTTTAACTTCTTTCGAAATTACTACCTATATATTTATATATTTCGCAAGTAACCTTTGCTCTTATACAAAATCGGTTCATTTTATTCTAACTTGAGTTAAAAATCTCCAAAATTTCTCTGCACACTCACGCTGTTAAAGTTCAAAATTTTAACTTCTTTCGAAATTAATACCTACATATTTATATATTTCGCAAGTAACTTTTGCTCTTATACAAAATCGGTTAATTTTATTCTACAATAAATTGAGTTAAAAATCTCCAAAATTTCTCTGCACACTCACTCTGTTAAAGTTCAAAATTTTAGCTTCTTCCGAAATCACTACCTATATATTTATATATTTCGCCAGTAACTTTTGCTCTTATACAAAATCGGTTCATTTTATTCTACAATAAATTGAGTTAAAAGTCTCCAAAATTTTCCTGCATACTCACTCTGTTAAAGTTCAAAATTTTAGCTTCTTTCGAAATTAATACCTATATATTTATATATTTCGCAAGTAACCTTTGCTCTCATACAAAATCGGTTCATTTTATTCTAACTTGAGTTAAAAATCTCCAAAATTTCTCTGCACACTCACGCTGTTAAAGTTCAAAATTTTAACTCCTTTCGAAATTAGTACCTATATATTTATATATTTCGCAAGTAACCTTTGCTCTTATACAAAATCTGTTCATTTTATTCTAACTTGAGTTAACAATCTCCAAAATTTCTCTGCACACTCACTCTGTTAAAGTTCAAAATTTTAACTACTTTCGAAATTAATCCCTACATATTTATATATTTCGCAAGTAACTTTTGCTCTTATACAAAATCGGTTAATTTCATTCTACAATAAATTGAGTTAAAAATCTCCAAAATTTCTCTGCACACTCACTCTGTTAAAGTTCAAAATTTTAGCTTCTTTCGAAATCACTACCTATATATTTATATATTATATTTCGCTAGTAACTTTTGCTCTTATACAAAATCGGTTCATTTTATTCTACAATAAATTGAGTTAAAAGTCTCCAAAATTTTCCTGCATACTCACTCTGTTAAAGTTTAAAATTTTAGCTTCTTTCGAAATCACTACCTATATATTTATATATTATATTTCGCTAGTAACTTTTGCTCTTATACAAAACCGGTTAATTTTATTCTACAATAAATTGAGTTAAAAATCTCCAAAACTTCTCTGCACACTCATTCTGTTAAAGTTCAAAATTTTAGCTTCTTTCGAAATCACTACCTATATATTTATATATTATATTTCGCTAGTAACTTTTGCTCTTATACAAAATCGGTTAATTTTATTCTACAATAAATTGAGTTAAAAATCTCCAAAATTTTCTCTGCACACTCACTCTGTTAAAGTTCAAAATTTTAACTTCTTTCGAAATTAATACCTACATATTTATATATTTCGAAAGTAACTTTTGCTCTTATACAAAATCGGTTAATTTTATTCTACAATAAATTGAGTTAAAAATCTCCAAAATTTCTCTGCACACTCTGTTAAAGTTCAAAATTTTAGCTTCTTTCGAAATCACTACCTATATATTTATATATTTCGCAAGTAACGTTTGCTCTCATACAAATCGGTTTATTTTATTCTCACTTATGTTATACATCTTTACAATTTCTCTGCACGCTCATGCTGTTCAAATCCAAACTTTTAGCATCTTTCGAAATTGCTCTCTATATATGTACTATATATTGCAAATAACGTTTGCTCTTTTACCAAATCGGGTTAAGGTCAACTCACTTCTGTTAAAAGTTTCTACAAACTCTCTCCACGCTCATGATTCTAAATTCAAATATTAGGATCTTTCAAGTTATCCTATATATTATATTAATATATTGCAAGCAATCTTTACTCTTATACATAATCGGTTTAAGTTTAATTCAATTATGTAAAAATTTCTAAAAACTGTCTCCACGCTCATTTTGAATTACTTTCTATATAATTATTTATTGCTAGTAACCTTCACTCTTATACAAATGATTTTAATTTTATACTCATATGTTAAAAATCTCCACAAGCTCTCTGCGCACTCATTGCTCTTAACATCAATGTTTAAGCATATTTCGAAATTACTCTTCACACATTTATTTATTGTTAGTAATCGTTACTCTTCTTACATTTATATAATACTAGTAACCTTTAGTTTTATACAAAATCGGTTTAAGTTAAATTCACTTATGTTAAAAATCTCTACAAACTCTCTGCAAGCTCATGATATTAACCCTCAAAATTTAAGTTCTTTGAATTTATTATCCATACATTTATATATTGCAAGTAAACTTTACTCTAATACAAAATCGGTTAAATTTTATTCTCACTTCTGTTCTACATTTCTACAAACATCTCTCCACGCTCACGCTGTTAAAGTAAATTACTACCTATATATTTATATATTTCGCAAAGGCTACTTGCTCTTATACCAAATCGGTTCAATTTTATTCTAACTTGAGTTAAAAATCTTCAAAATTTCTCTGCACACTCACGCTGTTAAAGTTCGAAATTTTAGCTTCTTTCGAAATTACTACCTATATATTATATTATTCGCATGTAACCTTGCTCTTATCAAACCGGTTCATTTATTCTCACTTCTGTTATACATCTCTACAATTTCTCTGCACTCTCATGCTGTTAAAATCCAAAATGAAACCTTCTTTCGAAATTTCTACCTATATATTTATATATTTCGCAAAGGCTACTTGCTCTTATACCAAATCGGTTCAATTTTATTCTAACTTGAGTTAAAAATCTCCAAAATTTCTCTGCACACTTACGCTGTTAAAGTTCGAAATTTTAGCTTCTTTCGAAATTACTACCTATATATTTATATATTTCGCAAGTAACCTTTGCTCTTATACAAACCGGTTCATTTTATTCTCACTTCTGTTATACATCTCTACAATTTCTCTGCACTCTCATGCTGTTAAAATCCAAAATGAAACCTTCTTTCGAAATTACTACCTATATATTTATATATTGTAAGTTACATATACTCTTATACCAAATCGGTTTAAGGTGAACTTACTTCTGTAAAAAATTTTTACATACTCTCTCCACTCCTATATATTTATATATTGCTAGTAACCTTCACTCTTATACAAAATAGGTATAATTTTATACTCATATATGTTAAAAATCTCCACATACTCTCTTCGCGCTCATCGCTCTTAACATCAATGTTTACACCACATTTATTTATTGTTAGTAACCTTTACTCTTTATACATTTATTTAATACTAGTAATCTTTAGTTTTATAAATCGGTATAAATTTAACTCACTTACGTTAAAAAACTAGGTAAGGTTAAACCTTTCTGCATACTTTCTAATTTTTCAATCACATGCTATGATCTCAAACAATAACACTCACTGAAGCTGGCATTAGCAACACAACTAACCAAAATATCGTTATGCCAAGCAAACGAATTCGCTGACTTCGTGATTCGGATTTATTAAACGTTTTTCCGACAAATTTCATTCGTCGTTGGTTAGCTGCCGAAACCACAGTGCTCCGCACACACAACTACAAAGCAGCACTGACTTTGTAAGGAAATCGGCACTTCGTTTACTTTCGTTTCGAAGTTTCGTTTAGCAGCGCTGCCGCTAAAGCCTCGTTAGCAAACGAAGTTGACTTGGTCGATAGGACGATTCTGCCAGTGCAATTTGCTCATATCATCAGTGCCTGTCGTTTACAAAGTCGTTTAGTTTTACTTTGGACTTCGTTATTAATGGTTGTGTAGTGGTCCTGAATGTTTTGCCGAATGGGCGCCTAATGTGGTGTTAGTGTACATATATATAGATATTACTTAAAATATATGAATAAAACCGGTGTAAATGCCACAGTTCAAATTTGAGTGAATTCGAAATTATTGCACGAATATATTTCTGCAGCTGTATTGCGATCGTGTTAATTTGTTATTGTTAAATTATGTGACCAAATAATATGATATAAATAATCGTGGTATCTGCAGAGAAATTTAATTATTAATTTCGAAAGGTATAGAAGTGAATGAAAATATGTGAGGTTAAGATAGATTATTAAATTGATGTTAAATATATAATATTAGTAATTAAAAACTCAGCTAACACGAGGAAAAGCAATAAAATACAAAATAACAATAATTAAATTAAATTAAAGAAATAAAACAAAATAAATTACAATAAAATAATATAAAAATAAATTAAAATTAAGGAAATCTAAAATAAAACCAAAAAATAAAAAATAAAAAACTATTAAATAAAATAAACTAAAATAAAATGAAATAATATATAAAATTAAAAAAATATAAAATAAAATACGATAAAGTAAAATTAAATTAAAAAAGTTAAATTAAATAAAATTTAATTAAATATAAAAAATAAAAAATATAATAATTAAATTGAGTTAAATAAAATAATATTATATTAAATAAAACAAATATACTATAAAAAAAATAAGATAGTTTGAATTTATCCCAAATACATAAAAATATATTAAATTACGACAAAAAATTAAAAAGTTGAACAATTAGATATATTTTAAGTACAATGTAATAAAAATCGTTGATATAATAATGCATACAAAACATTTATGAAATAACTAAAATTACAAAACAAAGAAAAAGTAAGCATTTTGAAAGCATATTTATATGCTATATTTAATATAATAACACATGTAATATCAATTGGTTGGTCTAAGCAACACATAGCATAGTATACCGTAATATAACATTACATAGCATGAAATAACAAAATTGAAATTGTCATAAGTAATTTACTTTTCGCCAAACAAAAAATGTATCTATCCCAAAAATAGAGTTCGGGAACTGTTTCGACGATTGGAAGAAGAGCTGGCATAAATGCACAATTTCGGATGGGATCTATTTTGAAGACGACAACATAAGTGTAAACGAATGACTAAATATGTGTTTTTTTTCGAAAAATGAAATTTCCGCTTATTTTTCAAACACACGTAACGTAACATTGCTATTTTAAATATCAGATTCAAAGTTAAAAAAAAATGTTTGCTCTATCAAAGCATATTTGTTTCAAATAACTAACTAAATATCTTACCAAACACATCATGTGCATTGCTTAGTATGGTTTAGTGTGAAATTACTATTAAGAAATAATTATTTGAATTGCTGATATAAAATTTTATTTATAAGTGTGAACACATAATCCAGCGAACATTTCAAAATTAAGTTCAACAAAGCCAAAAAAAAAAAAATCTTGCAAAACGTTAAAAATAAAAAATCAATATAAAATCCTTCTTGATTTTATTAAAATTTTCGCCTCAACAAATCAGAAATAACTTACTAAAATTTAATGAACCAAATTTCAAGAAAATTGTGTTGTATATTCATATCCCGTCGCCTTCTTATAAGCACGAGATTACACAACGAGTGTTCCGTTATTGCGTGTTCATTGAATCTAATTAATTTCATTATGGTTGGCAAGTTTCTTCATAATAAAAAAAAATAGTTTCTCGGAAGTGAAGAATTGCCAGAAGCAACAGTAATAAAAATAAAAAGTTTAAATTGTGTGTAAATGGAGGAGCCATAGTGAAACAACAACAACAATAGTGAGTGCATACAGTATTTTTGTGCACCACATTAGCCATTGGCATTTGCAGAGAGACCATGGCGTATACGTAATCAACTGCATTCCTATTTTTTCACTATATTCTAATAGTTTTTAAGTAACGAGTGTGCTCCGCACAAGATGTGAATATACAACTACCATCGCTGCACATGCTGCGCTATCTGACGCTCTACAATTTTATGTTTTGTTTACTTTTGCCATTCATAAACAAGAAAAAGGCTTTGCGCGCCAAAAAATTCAATGCAGCGTCCGCACCGTTTTAAGTGTTTGAGTTTGAATTTCTAATGCTCTAACTACAAAGTTCTACGACTTCAATATCCGTTATCTGCTATGGTAACAACGTGAATCTTTAATACAGCCGAAATATATGGTGTACCATAGAATGTTTTTAAATCGAAAAGTGAGCAAAAATATATTCGGACTCTTAATCGTGTTAATCAAGTATTAAATGGAATAAAAATGAAGCTGTCCAGAGAAGTTATGCAATTTTCAATCAACTAAAAACGCTAGATATTCCAAACTAAATCTCTGATTTGGAGCAAACGTTTTATTTTTTATAATAATATGTACGGGTATCAAGTGTAACCGTCTCTTTGATGTAGCGTTTCTCGTTAGGATTACACCAACTCTAAAAAATATATTAAGTTTATGATAAAAGCTCACGCCAATATGTTAGCTTCAGCACCTTGTTTGACCTAAATTTCATTTTCGACAACTTTTACCAAACACATCATAAACACCACTACTAACGCCAATAGCTAGTAGTAGAGTCATTGGTTTTAAAACGCAGGTATACACGAATACGGTTATAAGCATCAATATATTTATGTGTATTATCAGCATTCTTTTTACACATACATACATATTGGTTGTTGCTGACATTTTAGCTGCTTCTCACCTATATGGAGTGTAGCTGCTGTATATCGCAATATTTGTCTGACAGAGGAGAGATGAACGCAGCTCACTATATTTGCTTGGTGGTAGCTCCCTGCGGCAAATCGTGAAGAGCAGAACTTTTTGCGCGTAGAACTGTCTTCTTAGCTGAAGCGCGTCTATTCGAATGAAATTTGCATTTTCTTTGACTTTTATGCATTTCAGCCAATATTTCAATATAAAAGCAAGAAAAAACGTTAACTTCTGCTGCACCAAGGTTATAATACCTTTCACAAGAGCATTTTTTATAGCATAAAGCACACAAAAATATCTTTATTTTAATCTTTATCGTTCAATTTGTTTGGAGATTATACCGTTGTATTGGATAATAGTTCTTGGCAAATTTCGTATAAAAACCTTGTTCTGCTGTACAAGGGCTTAAGTATGGTCTAATATCGGGGGTTTCGGCATATAAGCAGCTTCTTCAAGAAATGGCAGACGGACCGACAGACGGACGAAAATGGCTCTGCTCGTAAAGCAGATCATTTATATACGAGTATACATATATATTGTAGGGTCTCTGATGTTTCCTTTATGGTATTACAAACTTCGTGGCTAACGGAGTAAACTCTGTTCAAGGTATAACAAAAACTAACAATAGATACATTATTGGCGTTTAACATTTTTGTCACTACCAACTGTTGGAGTTAGCAAGCGTTGCGCGTGGGTGTCTCACTTCAAAACACGTTACGTGAGTTAATTTCTTTAAAAAAAATTGTGCTCTATTTTCTTTTAGTAGCACATAAACTTTTGCAACTACAGTTCTCGTAATTCGTACCGAAGGTCTCAATAGAGAATGCTGTCAAGCGGCTAACAAACTGATTGTCAATTTTCAGTGCGCTTGTCGCCACAAACGTGTGCATTCCTCGTCGTATAAAATGCGTGCCAAAACTTGGAGAATTTGTTGAAATACTAGCGAAATATCAAAGTATGTGCATGTGTTGTTGTATTAAGTACAGGTTGGTTGCAAAGTTTGTTGGTCTCCCAAACAAAGAGCGCTACTAGCTCCAATTTTTTTTCTCTCTCAAGTTACAAGTCATACTGTCCATTAATTCTTTATTTACAAGCCATTTGAAATTGACGTGTCAGAGTATTTTTTTAATATGGAAAAAATTTAATATCGCGCAGTGATTAGATGCTTTGTTTTAAAAGATTTAAATGCAAAGAAAATTTATGAGCAATTATTGGAAGTGGATAAGAAGTTCTCACTTTCAAAACGCACCGCTGAATTTTGGGCTTGTAAATTTAAACGTGGTCGTACTAGGCTTGAAGACGACCCACGCGTAGGACGACCAAAAACAGCAACCACACCAGAAATCATTGAGCAATTCATAATATTGATAGTGAAGATGCAAGTTTGAATAAACGTGAAATTGCTATTGCCATAGGGATTTCAGATGAAGGAGTACTTTACATTTTACATGCTTGGAAAGTTAGTGCCGCACACGTTAATAATTTAACAAAAACTGGATCGAAAACAAAATTTTCAGCATAATTTGGAGTGTTTTAGGCAGAATAAAACCGATTTCTTGCGTTGTTTTATATTTATGTATCAGACTTGGATCTACCACCGTGATCCTAAATTAAAAAAAAAACGTTTACAGTGGACAGCTCCAAAGCAGGTGAAGTCACAACGATCAGCAAAGAAGGTTATGGCATCAGTTTTTTGGGATGCAAAAGGAATTTTATTGATTAATTATCTGCAGAAAAGTACAGCAGTCAACTCTGAATATAAATGCAACTTTTTGGATCAGCTGGATGAAAAAAATCGTGAGAAAAGAGCTGTTTCGCAGCACAAAAAATCATTTTTCATCAAGATAATGTACCTGTACACAATGGAATTTTAACAATGGCGATGAATTTAACGAATTGAAGTACAAATTGCTTGAACATCCACCGTATTCACCAGATTTGGCTCCCAGTGGCTACTACCTCTTCAGAAACATGAAACTAGTCTTTCGTGGAAAGCGTTTATCGTCGAATGAAGAAGTTATTACAGCCGTAGACGGGTATTTTGTAGAGCTTTCGGAAAGTCATTATAGGGATGGCATAAAATTATTGGAGAATCATTGGAATAAGTGTATTGAAGTTAAGAGAGATTATATTAAATATAAAAATATATTTCGTACCAAAAACAGTATTTTTTCATTTCGAGCGCAGAAACTTTTCAACCAACGTGTAAATTGATTGATTGATTGCTAAGTTGATAAATATTAAATTGTATGTAAGGGATTTATTTAGGATATATAATAAATAATTCATGCACTAATGTCCACTTAACGTATCCAATTAATCAGATTTAAACAAGAATATTGATGATGCGTTTCGTCGTTTAGCTTCCATTCTAAAAAATGGCTGTGTAAACTGGAAGTTCAAGCCCGGTGATGGCTGTGATTTTGGAATGATGCGACTGCTATTTGAGATTTTATTGCTTATAGTTTCGTTCTTTATAATTTTTATTATTAATGTAGGTAATCAACG